TTCCTGCTGGGGGTCTGCCAGCGCCCAAGAGAAACATGAACCTCCTTAGCCTTCGCCAAAATTGTAAAGTGCATACATCCACATTTATGTTAGTGAGGGCAGGTCTCGGAGGAGGTTTTTTTTAGCCCTAAGGTAATGTAACATTCAGGAGTGATTCTGAGATGCTTGATAAATACAGGTCAAGATCTGAACAGAGACAGTCAGAACTGATTCAAAACAGACATGAAGATAATAAGACTCGATTTAAAACAATTTACAAAAGTAGCATATGATCAAAGATGACTGAGTCTGGTTTGACTGAGTAATAGACATGGTGACACACAGACCCAAGACCTGCAGCAACAGAATGGGACAGTGTGTGGAGGCAGTGTGAATAGCAATGGCCTGAATTTATCTCAGGTTCCAGGTTGGTTCTTGGGTTCTAGAAATCAAGTGTACATGTAACAAAACTCTAGTGTGTTTGTTTGTCCATACGTTCCCCAATACCAGCTGAAAGGAAAATGGTTGGACAAATGCATGGTTAGATTGATGCTGATTGGATGGGTGCTTTACAGCAACAAATGTAAAAATTATAATGTGCCTTCACAGGTAGACACTTAAAAACATAGAAACTGTCTTCACCCATTTACTGTAATTTTACTTTTTAACATCTTTGTCTTGAGGACAGCTATAGCAGCTTTTGAACATGCCAATCTCTGCATTTAACTACACACAGTTGTCTTATATATGGATTTGTGATCTTAGTGCAATGCAAGTGAAAAATTATTTGCTAAAGAGTTACTGTTATAATAGTTTGTAGTAATGCAATAAAACAGTCATGCAACTATGTTATGTAATTGTGTAACTATGTAATGTAATGAAACAGTTAGTAGTAATGTAGACTTGAACAATTTGACAATTCCCTGTAACTGTCACCATTCTGAATACTTGGAGCCTGACAGCTAACAGCAAACACTTTCGTAATGCACCTTGTCGCCATGAGATTATAATGCCTACGTACTGTATTTTTCCTTCATCTTTGTTATGCTGGAAGTATTACTCTCTATCTAAAACTAATGGATAAAAATGATCTTATTGGTTTATGAAGGGAATTTTTTCCTCCTTTTGGTTCTCGGGCACAGGGAGGTTTAGAGGTCAGGGTCAGCAGAACAGCATGGCTTGCGTTCTGCATTCATCATCTTGTCTAATTCCTTCTGATAGTAACATCCTGCTGGTTTATACTGATGCTGATTTTAGCATTAATGTTCATTTTGGTCTCCCATACTTTCACTCTCTTGTGTCTTCATCTGCTATCCATTCTGTATTCCCTCATGTCTTTCCCCACATCTGTCTTGTGTCTTTTTCCACCCACCCAATACCTTTCCAATGCCCTGAACCCATTTCATCATCTATTTCTCACTGGCAATCAAAAATCAAATTTATATTCAAGGCAGCTTAATTGGTGTGACCTCTGAATCTCACTGCCTTTCTCTTTGGGGGTTTATAGCTTTCAATTATTTTCAATTTCCTTTGTTGTTTCAAGTGATGTTTCACTAAGGGACTGTTTCGGTTGCTAGAGTTTCCATCTAAGAGGGTTTTTACTTTATTTCTGTTTTAAGAAATGGAATAAATAGATATAGCACATTCAAAAAAAACTTTCTTCACTATCAGAAAGCTTTTTCTACTTGGGAGAAAAGTGTTGTTTGTGAAGAGATCAGCAGTACTGGTGGAAATGATACATAGTTACATTTGCCAATGAAATATTGAGCCTTTTACTGATCCCGGGTGTAGCTTTTGGGGCATTATTTTGCTTTCAGTGACAAATGCATATTCATTCATGCTTCATTCATTTATTTGATTTGTTCTATTGTTTTAAAATCAAAAACAAGCTTTACTTGTTTACTGTGTCTGTTCTTGTTTTGTTTAGTTAAAGAACACCAGCTGCACTAAAATCTATCAAGATATTATTTATGCTGGCTTCAGGCTACATTATTCATCTGTCTGAGAAGATGGCCACTATGTCAAATTACACAATTTGTCATAAATGTTTGCCAAAGAAAAAAAGAAGAAGAAGACACTGCAGACATGTCCAGACAATGAAGAAGGCAGTATGCCTTTTACCTCAAAGGGAACTTGAGCTAAAAATAACAGTAGTAAAACCAAAAACTAGCTAGGTATCCCTTAGGTACCTCACACTGTGACTGCAAAAGCCAATATGCCAGCATTAGCTGTATTACTGTGATATTAAATCGGTGATTTAATGACTATGATTCAGTCCCATATGCCAAGAGTGCTGTGAACAAAAGAGTGATCTGACAGTGTTGCTCAAACAGGTAATAGAAAATAGGAGAAAAAAAAAAGAAATTGGACATGTTAGACTTTGTGTCAGGACGTTGTGAGGTGTCCCAGATGTAGCAGCGGTCATCATTTACTATGACACAATCTACGATAAAACGGTTGTCATATCCAATGCCCATGTTCGGTCCTGACACCCTGCAATCATCAGGTCAAGCTTTTAGTTGGCTTTAATTGTGCAGTCTGAACCTGGCATTAGTGTGAACCTGGAATTAGTCTAATTGCAACCACTTACATCAGTTGTTATGAATTTCCAGTATAATCACAACCATAATTTTTTTAAAAGAAATTTAAATGAATCTTTAAATGAAAGCATGGATAAGGGCCACGAGGTTACTGACACAAAGGGATAATAAGTGTTTCCCTAACGTCAATCAACCCTTCATCAAGAGGTATTTTATTAATTAGTATGTTTTGTCTAATGCTGTTTTACAAGCACAATGTCACACAAGCTCTTGCCATGTTTGCCGAGTCTCATTTTGTTCCACCTTCCTGCTCTCTTCTATCTGCTATCTGTTTTTCTCTCCCTTGTCTGTCTCTCTTTCACTTCCCATCTCTCCCCCTTCCAGACAAAATCGACATCTGTTTGACTCAGCCTTTGGATGTTTTCTACCAGTGTTTCTTATTGTCTTTGTTTGGCAATGCATTACTGTCATTAATTATGAAGTCTCAAATAGATTTCCTATACACTCCATATCACGCACACACACACACAGACACACACACACATACAAGTACACACGGGCCTGTGTACCTTCCTTGATGTGTGCATTTTGTACAAATTGAGTCAGATCTAACAACAGAGTTCATCCCCCTTCCTGTGTATGTGTGTGTGCACATGCATTGCTCCTGCGTGCACATAGATGTGTGTGTGTGTGTATGTTGCACACTCTCTGTCAAGTGGGGCATACCCCAGGGATTCCTGTCAATCAAACTGGCTAGCAATTTGTCAGAGAAGCGAGGCACTTTCCAAGACAGGCAGATGTGTATATGTGCGCCCTTCTCTGTGAGTGTATATGTCCGCATATGTTTTTGAGTGCAAAGGTATACCTGGCAATGTTATTGCTGTTATATGGTTATGCATGTGTGTTATGATGTCTTTACACATATAGAAGGTATGTGCATTCACATTGTGTGCATGTGGAAGCTGATTCTATATAGCATAAAAAAAAAAACAAAGGCAAGTGATCGACAGTGGCAGCTACACTAGAGTGCTCACACACAGAGTTCTTTCCCAAAGATAGCACTGACAGCTCTCTTTCTCCTATTCATGTTATTCTTTCCTGCATCTATCCATATCTGTTAGTCCCTGAAGTGTTGGCTTTTCACCTTTTTTCCCATTTTTACTTTGTGGTTTACTTTCTGTCTGCTTTTCAGAGTAGCATAAAAAATAAAAGTAACGTAGAACTGATCAGTATAATACAGCTAAAATTTACATTTAAGCAAATCTTGAAAATATATACAGCAAAGTCAGAAGATTCCAAGTGATTTTTTACATTTTAATATAATAAGGGGAAAATAAAAAAGTAAATAAAATGTATGGTTTTCACCTTCCACATATACATCACTGTTCTCTCTTTCTCCTATTCATGTTATTCTTTCCTGCATCTATCCATATCTGTTAGTCCCTGAAGTGTTGGCTTTTCACCTTTTTTCCCATTTTTACTTTGTGGTTTACTTTCTGTCTGCTTTTCAGTGTTTTTTTAGTTACCTTCTCTGTTGCATTCACCTAAACCCCAAAAAACAACATTCCTGTTTCCTTTCCTTGGGTTAGCTGACTTAAACAGCCCAAGTGACTAATTGACTCCTCTGTTAAACACACACACCATTTACTGTACACACACTATCTAATTTATGGCCATGCATCCTGTGTGAACTCTCAGAACAGCAGTCACTGCATTAAGTTGGTCTTTTCTGTGTTCTTCCTCAAAACCTCAGCACACACATCATGTGAAACTTGCTTATGATCATCAGTTGACCTGAGTGGCTTCTTTGTTGAAGCCTTATTTGTTTTGAAGGTAGCCATGGCAATATTAGCGCCATATAGTAGCTGGATGATAGGCTGATCTGATCAGCTATTGTGTCTCTGTTTATGAGTTTTCTCACAGGTTCCTTTGTTTTCACCACCACTCATTTGACCTCACTGCAAGCAACAGGCCAAATGACACCAGAAACACACAACAAATCTATAACTCCATAAGTGGAAAACTATTCAAGCAACATATTGTCAAGTTTATGCAAAAATAGAAAACATTAGCCTTATTAGCAGGCACGGAGTATTCTAAAGGCAGAACCCATTCAATAGACAAACCAAGTAAATAAGAGATGGTATGGCTGAAGTGCAGTAACAGAGCTGACAAAAGTTGCAATATCTAGAGCACTGTAGAAAAGAACCTCAGCAAAAAAAGAAGAATGGAAAGCAGAAATAATAGGATAGAGGTGATCAGAGTAGACCACTACAGAGTACAGCAAAGTTAAGATGAAGAGAAGAGCACAGCAGAATAAATGTCAGGTCCACTTTGGTTGACCAAAGGAGGCCTCATGATGAAGATAAAATGCATACTCACCGAGCTGACTGCGTCTCTGAGCGTAGGCTACCACCACCGCGGCCAGAACTACACAGCACAGCGATGTCACAAGGTTTGCCATCTGCAGACACACATACAGCAAAGTCATCAGTGTGAGTGCATGTGAGAGACAGAGAACTGGTGAGTGAGTGTGTCCGCCTTCTGTTCTGATTGACTGACAGGCCCTTAGACGCTTACAACACCATGTAAGAGATGAAGAGATAGGCTTCCTGTCCTCTGTCTGTATCTGTGTGTCTCTATTTCCTTTCACTTTTATGATCCCTCAAGTGGCATTTTCTCTCTCCTGTCCATTTTTCCTACTCATTAAATTCCATTATATCCAATAGTATTCCTTTCTTTGCTTCTCTGGCTATTGTTAGCCTTTTCACTGTATAATCTTTCTCTTGCTTTT